GATCGAGACCTTCCTCGCCAGGGCCTGGGGCGGGAAGCCGTAGCGTAAAGTTGAGGGAGGAAGTCACAGACAGACCGGGGTTTCTCTTCTTGACGCGCTGCCATCATTCTCAAGAGGTCGATCGCTCTTGCTGGGTAAATAAAGTTTCGAGATGAGGTGGAAGGAGTAGCCTAAGGGTCAAGAGTGTCGAACTTCAGTGGAAGCCGCCAGGGCCCCTTATCTCCCTGTTTCCTCAGTACCTACATCCTGGCTCTGTTTCTGTTGAACCAAACCTGCCAACGTCCACTTTTGCTCGAAGCATTAAACAGGCTATTGTCCGCCTCACATTCGTTCAGTTGTTTCTCGTCTTTCAGGATTCAAGTCATAGTCTCCTCTCGTCCCCATCATATCACCCATTCCATAGACTCAATACGATTAGCAGAGCACGACAGTTCATCACCACCTTGACCATGGAGGGTGAGTCTTCCAAAAGGAAGGGTTCGATCTCAAAAGAACAGTTCGTCGCCCTGGTGACCGGTATCGCGAACCAGCGTGCCAGAAAGAAGAGTCCAATTCCAGACGGTTCTTCTCCTGGGTACGCCCACGTTCAAACACGCCCTTCCATCAACGATCCCACCCATCCGCTATATGCCAGTGCACCAGATGATAGCGACAAGTCCAAAGCACCTATTTCACCCTGGCCAGAAAAAGCCCAAAAAGAAAACAGCCAACATGCCAGTCAACCAGATGATGACGACGTGCCCAGGTTGCCTGTTTCAGACTGGCTAGAACAGGCCGCAAAAAAAGGCGACCATAGGCTACATCAAAGCCACAGCGGACCTAGCAGCGATACCCAAGCCAAAATCGGCACTTCCCAACCCGTCAAAAGCTCGGCCCCTGAAGAAGAAGAAGAAGAAGAAGAGGAGGAGGAGGAGGAAATGGACGAGAACGAGGATGAATATGACAGTGACTGGCGTTTCAGGGCTACAAGAGACCTTTCGTCCATACAGGCCAATGCCAAAACCTTGAGGGACCTCCACGTTCCCGGCAAGCCCGTTTTCGTCGTCAACGTCCACGACCTCCTCACGGCATCCATAGCCGCACACCAGCCCGAGTGCCAAGTCTTGTGCGTCGACTTGCCTGTCTTGTTCCACTTGGTGGGCTCTCGATACGCGCGCGGAGTTACTTTTCTATCCGTGAACTGCTTCGACCTCATCGGTGCTGTCGCCCGGATAGCGCAACGCAACGGCAAGCTCCTCACGGTGGACATTGACACCCATGAAGTCGGCGTCTTGGACCAGTTCTTGCCATTTCTTTTCGGTATGGGCGTGGTAGGTGTGGACTTGAGGGACTCGAACTAGAAGCGTGGGTTTCTCGGAGAGGACGACATGGCGCAGCGGATCGAGGCGATTCGATACGTGGCCAGGCAGAATTCCCTGGAGGACTTTGTCATCAACGCCTTGGTGCAGTGGCCCGGCACCGTCGACGAAGCGATCGTGAGGGCCAACCATTACCTGGATGACGGTGCCACCGTGGTCACCATCCTCCGCCGTATACCTGACCCGGATTTGCCGGCGGCCGAGTTCCAGAGGATGATAAACGGAATCAAGGGTCCCATTGGGGTCGTGCTGCAGATGCCGAACATGGGGTTTGCCCCCTGCAAAGCCAGCGACATGGCAAAGACCAAGGTTGTGCGTATCGGCTTCGGAAATCAGTGGCCGTATCATATTCGCAGGCAGTTCGCAAAGGGTGTGCAGTTGCTGTTTTCGAAATAGATCGCATGGTAGACCCAACAGCGTATTTGCTTGCGAGAGAGACTAAGGCATGATCAAGGGGTTATTACAGCGTTTGAAGAATCAGTTATGAGACATGGACAGTGATAGATGATAGTACGGAATAGCATTGCATTTGACTCAGAACTGCGGACCAAGTCTTTGGAGACGGCGGCTTGGTTAAAAAGCAGAAGGCATGGCAGATATGGAGGTCTCTCTATACCCTCGCGAACCAAAGAGTAGCCCAATCGCCCCTCTCAGACCACGGATCTGATGTCCGGAGAACTGCTTACTCTCTTCTCGTTCTCATCAAAATCGCTTCCCTGTTGCCCTGGGGTTTCACCCTCGGCAACAGCCAGCGTTCTTTCCCTCTCTGCTTTAGCTGCGATTCTTTTGTCGCGCCATAAGAGCAGCTGGATTGCAGCAACGACGCCAACTAGTAGGACTTGTAAGACGATGGACCAAAGATATCCGCCTCTTGCTGCTGGGAAAGCCGTGGTCTTCCACACAAAGTTGGGTGCCTGGACGAGGTCAGTTCTCGATTCCTAAGAGGCATCGGGTTGACAACGTAGGTCATGACTTACAACTGCCTGGACTACATAGGCCAAATCGTTGCCCATGGCAATGAGTAGGGCACGCTTTTCTGTATCGTCCGAGCAGATTTCGTTGATCCAGGTTAAGATGAGAGGACCGGCGCCGCCACCAATGTTACTGAGCCAATAGACAATCTTGCGGGCTTCAATGTTCGAGTACAGCGGCATTTGTCGCATGAGAACGCTGAAGAGTAGAGTGATGGCGGCGCCAACGTATATGAACGGCCAGCGTTTTCCATGTAGGGCTCCGTCCGAAAGCCACGCCCAAGTCAGCGCCATGCCGACAAAGATGCCGGTATATGGTAGTGGTACTATAGCGATGACATTAGCCTTCTAGACAGCGGGAAAGGTTTACGGCAAGGGGTAGCACCCACGAGTGTTGATCTGGGCTACTGTGAAAGTGGTGCCGGGAAGTGGTGGATGAGTCTTGTTATTGAAGCTTTTCAGCCAGTAACCCATAGCCGGTTGTGGACTACCATTGTTCCAAACAATATAACACAAGGCTAGGTATCATAAGGTATGTTAGTAAGTGGTATAGGTGGGGTTGACGAGGAGACACTTACGTAGGAGGTAAGTGTGCCAGCTCAGAAGAATCTTCTTGGCTTTAGCTTTTGTCCACGGTGCCTTGCCCTTGCGACCAATCCGTTCCATGCGGTGAATCGAGAGCTCGTGCTCCTTCTGCGACGTCCACCAAGTTTTGACTCCCCCTTGTGGCAGATTTGGGAAGAAAATATAGCCCAACGCAGCCAAAGGCAAAGTAATGATACCGTCGATAATGAACAGCCATCTCCACCCCGCGTACCCGTGCACTCCATTCAGATTCGTGTAAGCTGCAGCTTGCAAGAAGCCGCTGAACAGCGTTCCGATCGAACCGCTCAGCCAGAATATCATGGCCCTCTTGCCGATTTCCTTTGGAGTGTACCACGAGCCCAACATATAGTGAATGCCTGGGTAGAATCCGGATCTACATAACGATGTCAGCCTCAACGATTTGATTCAGAGCATGGACATATCATCCCCAAAATAAACCAGGGTCCAGGGGTAGGCTCACTCAAAGAGGCCGACCAGAAAACGCAAGGCATATAGACTTTTGTAGGACTTGACAGCCGATGTAGCAATAGTAGCAACACCCCAACCCAGTTCAAGCTGTAACATGGTAATTAGCAAGGAGCAATATCTGGGACAGTGGGCGGGATATAAACGAACTGATGGGATCACCCAGCGTGGCGACACGCGGGTTAGCAGCAGATTGGACGGAATCTGTCCGATCACATAGCCAACCGTCCATATAGAAGTGCTGGTCACGAGCTGGTTGCCGAACATCTGTAAGTCTTCCTCCATGCCGCTGAGGAAGGCATTGTTGACATTTGTCTGATCGAGGTTCTTGAGGAAGTAGCCAATCTGAGTAACAGCAGGCGGGTTAGTACAATGCACTCCAGATCCAATCCTATGAGAACATGTAAACGGATTGAGCACTTACCGACGCAAAAGTCAGCACGAAGGCGTCCAACTTGAACATCAACCAACGCTCATCCTTCGGCAGATCGAACGTGTCCCATACATAACCTTTCCATGACTTCGGTTGCACAAGCTGTTGTTCCGAATCATTTTGCGCCGATTCAGCGTCCAAGCTGTACACATGAGCTTCCGGGCGTCCCATGTTGGGCTGTTACAAGACTGTACTTCGTAGCTGCTCAGGCCCAAGAATTGACGAGATTTCCTGGGGTAGCAGGGTTGTATTTACAGGCGAGTGTGGTGGACGACATCATGTACTCATTGCCACCAGCAATCACGTCAACTGACCAAGTATACACTAGCCCCCCATGCTATGGCATGATACCTCCCCGACACTACGTCTTCACACTAACTTGGGGGTTTGATGCAGAGGTCGTGCAAGTAAGGAGGATCGATTCCCCTTGGCACGTAAAACGACGGATCATCAGGAACACTGGATTTCAAATCAAGAAGCGAAGGCCGACACGCGATACCATAAACTTGGACATTGCCGATGCACGGGTGGCGTCATGGCAGTCTACGTCTACTGTCATACCAAGTCCCGGAGGCTCTTCGCTGCGTGGGATGTAGGCTTGGTCTAGAACCCGAGCGCTTTCAGATGCAAAAGTTGTAACTTTCAAGTTTCAATGGTAATTGTAGGAAGACACGCGAATTTGATGTCCAGAAGAAAGCTCCTCATCGGTCCCATACCTTGCGTGATAGATAAGGACCCTCAATGGGGCAACTGGGTGTTTTGATATTGCGTGATCTTGGGCGATATTACATGCGCATGCATACCTCAAACCAGGTCGCTGGGAGTAGAGATCGTCGACACATTCGTTTCAACGTGGACTTCATTAAGAAACGGACCTCTATAAATATATGTCAGTCAACATTGACACTTACCTCGTCTACAATCTAGATCTTAAGCAGGACATAACAATTCTGTGTTGTTTGCCCACCTACCCACCTATATACACTTCGTACATCAACTACTAAACTTCGGAAAGAATAATCCCTACTAAATATTAAGGACCGAAGACAGCTAAACAGGCGCGACTACCCTAAAATAGCCAAAAAAAAAAAAAAAAAAGCCCCCTACAATGATAGTAGAGAGAGAGATGCCATCGTCTATTTGAGGAAGCAAAAGGTTGCAAAACAATGCGGTTTGTGTGGATCGAACACACGACCTTCAGATGAACTGGTGAAGTTTGACTTCAGTCTGACGCTCTCCCAACTGAGCTAAACCCGCGGATGAAACTTTACATGCTTAGCACGGTCTATCAAGCAGCTCACAATTTCGCGGCCCCTAGGTGGGGCGGTTTTTCATGTCCCGCCCATTCTCAGAATCTTGAACTCCTCCATCCACTGGGGTGACGGCTGCGAGGCAGTCCCAAAAAGAAAAAAGGTTATTAGGCGCGAGCCGATAAAACTGGGCTGCGCAGGTTTTAAGGTTTGTATCGACAAGCGAGCCGAATAGAAGATGAACCTTCTTGAACTGCCGTACTGACTCCTCTCCGACAGGCTCCCTCCTGCACCTGGAAAACCTCATTTGTGACTTCAACGCGTCGGAAATGGCGATTAGTACATCAGATTATCCACAACCTCTACCTAAGTCGTCACTCCATTACTGCTCTTAAGTTTATTGCCCGTTAGGCACATTGTAACTCGTTTGAAACCGTCTCTCCGCTTTGTGTAACACCGGAAGGAAGTCTTCTGAGTTTTGCTCTGCGCAGAGAGACCGGCAACGACAGCAACAGATAAGTCTCCTTTCCACACGCCTCATGGAATGCTCACTGTCATCATGGATTGCCGACGCCGTATCAAAGGGTTGCGTATTTCGGGAATCGCCAAGGCGATGCTTTACCCGGGTTGCGACCTTAGCACAAATGCCGCTCCCAAATCATCCAGTTTAACCATGTCCATTCGCTTCAAAGGCGTTCTACCCAAAATGGCAGTCTCAATATGCCTCCGTATGCTTCTGCGTCACCGTGAATCCCGTTCTTGAGTGCCGAGTCGAGATGGCTCCGGTCTTCCGGCTTCAAGTCCACATGCGATGCGACGTCTTCGGCGTTGATGATCGACAGCATGTGGGCATAAAGACTGGTCTCTGCGTGGCTAAACGGGTTACTACTTTGTCTTACCGGAGACACAACCTCAGTGTCTCGTTTGTAATCATTTAGGACACATCGAGACCGTTACTATGCTGCTGTCATCTCTGTTCACGATGCTCGCGCTCGTCGCCTCGGGCTTGGGCGCGAAGCTAGAACAAGTCGCAAACTTTGGCGGAAATCCAACCAAGATCAACATGTATATCTACGTCCCCGACAAGCTCGCCTCCAAGCCAGCAGTCATAGTAGCCGTAAGAACAATCTCGCCCAACCTCAAGCATCCGCACTAACAAGCAATAGCTCCACCCCTGCGGCGGAACAGGACCCCAGTGGTACAGCGGCACCAAGCTCCCCTCGTACGCCGACCAGACCGGTTTCATCCTCATCTACCCCAGCACCCCGAACCAAAGCAACTGCTGGGACGTCCAGAACGCAGCAAGCCTCACCCACCGCGCCGGCGGCGACGCCCTCGGCATCGTCAACATGGTCAACTACACCCTAGCCAAGTACAACGGCGACGCCGCGCGAGTCTTCGCCATGGGCAGCTCCTCGGGCGCCATGATGACCAACGTGCTGGCGGGCTCCTACCCGGACGTGTTCGAAGCCGGATCGGCCTACTCGGGCATCGCGTTCGCCTGCTCGGCCGGCGCGGCGGCCGCCACGCCATTCGCGCCCAACCAGACATGCGCCCAGGGCCTGCGGCATACGGCGCGCGAGTGGGGGGACTTTGTCCGGAACGCGTATCCCGGGTATGCCGGGCGGCGGCCGCGCATGCAGATCTGGCACGGGCTGGCGGATACGCTGGTCAGGCCGCAGTGTGCTGTCGAGGCGCTGAAGCAGTGGTCTGATGTGCTGGATGTGGCGTGGTCGAAGAATGTGACGGGGACGCCGTCTTCGGCGTATACGCAGATGTTGTATGGGGACGGGACGAAGTTACAGGGGTATTTTGGCGTCGGTGTTGGACATACCGCTCCGGTGAATGAGGTTTATACGCTAAGGTTCTTTGGGCTTGTTAGTTGAGTGTTTTCTTACTGTTTTGGGCTTTATGCTGCGTCCTGCCCTCGGATTGTAGCTTGTTCATTGGTATACCATACACACTTGAGCCGTACAAAGTACATACATAGGGTCTAATACTTGTTGTCTCATACATCGGGGTCCATGTGCTCCTCCAATGGGATGCGTTGGTATATTTACTTATCCGTGAACCTTAACTAATGATTATGAGGATAGGGCTTGGCCCTTTAGATCATTCGTCCCGGCCAGCCTCGGACATGTCTGTCTGGCCTAACAGCAGATCATCGTACAGGACTAGAGATCGGGTCCCATTCTCAACCATAGGTATAACATAGGAGCAGACCATATTCAGCGTCTGTATTGTTAAACCGGAGATCTATGATCTCCGATCGATCTTCCGGCAAGGGTTAATGCCGCATCACGCTCCTCGTCTTGTCTAATCCGAGGGAACTATGTTCGGCAAACATCTCTTAGGCACCGTACATATGATCCAAACGCAATAAAAGAGTTCGGACTCAAATTTATCATGTCCCAAGACAACTAAACCTCAACCAGCTAGTAGCTTTTCCGCACCGACGTGCGTGAGCCGACAATTTCATCTTGTCTGGGCAGGCAAGATCCTTGTCGTTGAAGTCGGTAGCGGCCATGGCCATCGTGTGCGAACCCAGCGACTGCTCGTGTCAGAATGAGCTCAACTACTGTTGTATTCAAGGCCACGTGTGCTGTTCTCGAAAGCGCATATTGATAAGCTGGAGCGGTATGCTTTGCGTCATGACTAGCTCCACAGGCATGAGAACTGGAAGCAAAGGGTTGGTTATAAATTAGTAGTACATTTATCGGGGAACTCTGAGCTCCATCAACTCTTAAACGTAGCTCAAACTCGGACATGGCAATGTTATCCTAGAGACTGTCCAATGGATACCATCGACATCCAGCAAGCAGCACCGTAGTTGGTCTATATGGCAACGTATGATCTATATGAGAAACAGGAAATCTAGAGCCCATACGAAGTAGTCGTGATTCTAATGTGTATCACATACCATTCTGCAGACCCTGCCCAGAACTCCAGTCAGATCCGACGTCTATATGCCAGACCATGCAGGCCACTTCCTAAACCTCCTATGCAATCATGGGATTATTCGTAACACACTTCCTCAACCCATTCGGCGTCGCCTCAGCAGCGCAACTGCCTCTCCGGGACTGTGGATGACCGGGAGCTCGAAACACCATAGCCGGTATATCGAGTCTCTCCTCATCACCCTCCACCTTGACCTCGAAACGTCCAATCTCCTGGAAGCCCAGCTTGTGGTAGAGATGCACCCCCATCGGACTCGAGAAGAGCGCAGTGTTGACGCTCTGGAGGTGCGCGACCGACATGCCCCATTTCACAAGGGCCGTGCCGGCTCCCCGCCGCCGGTTGCTGGGGTGGCAGAGGAGGATCTTGAGGAACATGTACCCTCCCGCATACTGGGTGTCGAAGATTTTTGCCTTAGCGGCCTTGCTTGTATCACGGAAGGCTTGCGAGCGATCTTCTCGTGCGAAGGGCTTGGGGTGAGATGGAGTTCGTGTCAGTTGTTTCGGACGCGGGGTGTTGTCGGATGGGTATTGATGTTGACTGCGAGCTGGCTGATGTGCTTCCTGATGTGCTTCTTTGACGTCATCTGGATTGTTGGACAACGGCAGTGTGCCCCAGCGCGGCCATGTCTGCGACCTTTTTGTTGGCGGGCCAGGTGCTTTCGGCAGGTTCCAGACGCCGAAAGCAACCACCTGCTTCTTATGTCGCGAATTTGACGGGTTTGGGATCTCGTATACGATGACAGTGTCGATGCGAAGATATTCCTGGCACTTTCGTCGGCAGTGATCACTGTATTCCTTGTGGTATTGGTCTTTGTATGGAAAGCGGTAAGGATAGCAAGGGTCGTCGTTGGAGCTGGCAATTAATATTTGGGTGAGGTCTTCGAGGTCGAACTGGGTCGCTTGCCGGACGGCCATGGCCCCTGCACAGGGGTAAAATAAGAGTCGGATGACAGACAAAAACAGCTTTAAGAACTACACATCTTGAACAGGAGGACAAAAGAGCATTTCCAGATGCTCGCGAGCCCTTTTTGTAATAAAAACGCACATTGCTCAAATGGTTCGTGGTGATGCTTGATTATGAACGGAGGGAGTGGCTGAGCTTATGTTGAGGGGTGGTTTTGGGGGTTTTCCTTCGCTTTATGACGTGAATGGCTTGCCAGATATGCCTTGCCGGACGAAAGCGATGATTCTAATAGGTGCCAAGGCCTGGACGCATCACGAGGGTCTCGATTTTGTTGTCGGTATGCTCGACGTTACGTGTTCATCTTGTGCGCATGCGCGTCTTGCGAAATTCAGCGACCGAGAAAGAATTTGTCAAGGCCATGCTGCCTGAAATTAACGTTGAGGGTGTGGTTGCAGGTGCGTGGTAAGGTTGAGACATTTCTTGCAGGACGACGTGAGGTGCCTTTCCAGGTTCTGACCGCCTGTACGAAGGACGAAGTGCCCAATTGGGCGGGCTCGAGCTGCAAGGGGCGATTTGTCAAAATGGCCAATGGCTGTTTTTACCTTAACTCCACATGTTCGAGTTCGTGAGCGACCCACTGAAGCGACTTGCTGAACAACGCCAAAAACCAAAGCGGCAGCCACGTTTTTATCGTCGCCTTTCCGGCTGCTCCTTCCTCTTGTCCAGACATCACAATCTACCTTGCCTTAGCGTGACTGAACCTGATCCCGCTTCCGCTTGCCGAGGACTTTCAGTCTCCACCAACTCTCTGGAAGGCTTCAGTTTGCCAGCTCAGTAATGTGCTTCTCAGAAAGTGAGGTGCATCTGGACGTGCCTTTCCCACGACGCGTGAGACGTCAATATTGTACTTCATAGCTCCGTGCTGGAGTGTTATCTTCGTTCTGAACTTGCGGCATTTGCTGTTGTACAATGGCTTTCATTGTCCGCCAGACATGGGGTCGCTGTCAAATGCAAGATCAAGTGCAAGACACATGCGATTGTTGATTTGATGACTGATATGCACGGAGCTACACCGAAGCAACCTTGGCTACTGAGGTAAGGTATCCAAGGTAATGTAAGGTAGGTACCTGACCTACCTGCCTAGCA